TTACAAACTTTGAACATGTTCTGGGATTTTGTTGTAAAAGCGTATACATTGCTCCATAAATGAATAACTAATTCTGTGGAGTTTAGTAACTGGCATTACAAGCTTATGGTTGTTTCTAGTGTTTAAGGTATGAACATCCTTACTATACTATTTGACGGCTCCGTGGCGTAGTGGCTTAGCAATCAGTTGTTGCGCTGGGGGCCGCGGGTTCGAATCCCGCACGGAACAAGTATTTGTATGGCCTACAAATAATTGTTCCGGGTCTGGATGTTTGTCCTTGTGCAATTTATGTTTGTAAACTGCCTCTACGACACAGGAGAAAATCCTAGTGTGGGGGTATAGTTTTTTTAAAAAAGGAAAAGAAAAAAAAGAAAGAAAAAAAAAAAATCCTTATTCTCATTAAAGCTATTTATGTTTTTATGTACATACATTACATTTTCATAAATATATTGCGATGCCAAAGTTAATATGTTTATTTCTTTAAATTTTTCTCTGAGGATCTCTCTTTTTTACTCAAACATATATAATGGTTTATAATATAAGGTACTCTTTCGTTAGATTATTTTTAAACTATAATTTCAACCTTGGACAAAGGTTTCAACTGCATAAGTCATTGTTCTGAGGTTTCCACACATTTCTTCAAAGAGTATGTATTCACTTTAATATGTATCTATAAAGAAGTCCCGTGGAAAATATGCGAACATATAAACTGTGGAATTTGACAGCAAATGTCAAATTTTGCGAAGATTTGTGGCTGTTGTTCTTTAGTTGGAATTTTCTTTCTATAGTCTTCTTAAGCCATAGTTTAAAGACGTAACTAGCAATAAATCACGTTTTGTAAAAATACGAATTAAGATTGTAAATGAACGGAGAATGAACGTAATAAAAGCATTAACAGAGTTGAAGCGTACTATTACATCACGTGTCAACTTGAATTACCATCCCTGCCATAAGGCACGCTTTCCAGTGTTGCGAGCTAATTTAATATTCACAAACTTAGTCCCTTAGCATCAAACATACATAAAGCTCTTACTGTTGGAGCTAAAATATTATTTAAATGAGTAGTACTATATAACAAGGGATTTTAATTATACCACATTTTAATATTTTTTTTTAATTTTCGTTAAAAAAATTTTTTAACATTAGTATCCTGTTTTGCTGTATATATAATCTTTATATATAAAAATTACGTGTTACATTGTTTGTCCGCGATGAACTCCTAAACTACTGAACTGATTTCAATGAAATTTTGCACACTGTGTGCAGTTTGGTCCAACTTGAGAGACAGGATAGTTTTTATTCCGATAAGTGACCCTCAATTATTTTATTGCTAATTTCAGGATTTTTTTTTTAAAAAAAGCAAATGGTCGTCGGAAAGGGCAGAACAACGACTGCCTGGTCAGCTAGTAATATAATAAAAAAAAAGGATTAGAATAATATAACTCTAACTCTCTTAAATAATAAAGTATATTATAAAGAAAAGGTTGTGCCATAATATAAGTGATGAGACGATGAATGATCACTATAGGCGATAATAATATTCAGATTTAAAAATAATGGTAACGGTTTAAATTTACATGAAAATATAATAAAATTCAATTCAATGCAGCCTCATCAAAGTTTACAACTGAACATAGGTGTCCCACATATGTATATTGTCTCATACTAAGACATGCAGTTGCTCCTGCACATCCTTAGAACTAATCCTGTTGGAGCCTACGCCCCACTCAAATTATTAGGTAAATTATTTATAACATTAAACAACGTTAGTATTTTTTAATCCTGGCCCCTAGAAGGAACATTTGCCATACCAAGCTTGGCAGGCAGTTTGGCAACTGTAGTTTAAATAATTAGTTGTTATCAGGAAGATTCTGCTAAATAGTATCCACTACCTATTACTATCCCGTGGGACACCCAATGGGGTAATAGACAATATTACGCCTCCACTACACGGTGATATTATAGTATTGATTAATTCAAAACGGAAAGATAGAGAAAATAACATATTTGGAAATAACTTGAACGCTTATTGTAGTGATATGCCGATATAAAAAATTAATAAACTGAAATTTCTTACAATATCTTTGGAGAGAACCCTTTCTTTTCAAACCTGACTCAAAGTGGATTATATTCTTTTATAGAATAAGGTGACAAACGTGCACACAGTCCACTTGTTCCTGTCTCCGTTTCTCTACACACACCATACATTATACAGATATGTATAGTCATCACAGTCATTAAACCATATTAGGGATTTCGTTGGATGTTTTTTTTTTTAATAAAGACTGTATGTCTATGTTTCCGTAACATTATGCTGACATCAGACATTTAATTAAAATTAAAGGTATTACCATATTTGTGAATATTCAACATAATTTGATACCTTCTTGAAAATCATTTATTTTATCTGATATTTTAAGAATTTCTTATCTGTGAGTCGCTAATTAGTAAAATGTTTTCATAATAAACTACATAAGCGCGTACTATGTGCGTACTATTATACGCGTCATATACTCACATAGCATTTTAAATTATAAGAGAGGATTTGTTTGATTAGAAAAAGAAGCTAAAAAATAAAAATACGGCTGAGATATCCAAGAATATTAAATGAGTACGAGGAATCCTTATCAGTAAACATTTTTATGAGAATTCCAATAAACATGTGGGCTTTCCGTTCGATCATTTACCCGACCCTTAAAACAAAGTATAACTTTCATCAAAGCTGAACGAGTAAGAATATTAAACTCGAAAGTTCTCAAGTACGATCCCTTTTCTTTTTCTTTTTATTTCTTCCTAAGTAACTACACAATGTGAATTTTATTGCACTTTCAGGTAAAAATCAAGTTATTTGGAGAGGCAAAAGTTTGGTTGTCCTAACGTTATATTATGGTCATTCAAATACAAAACTTTTAAGGCGGAATTAGATTATTACAACATATACCAACTCCGACAAGATTTGGTTAGAATTTATAAGAAACTACAATTAACGGCTTTAAATGTCAAATATCCAACGTCAACGTCAAAGATGCAAGACGTCTGGTACTGCAATCGTCAATTGGCCTCCCTAGCGTGATGATGAGCCAATCTTCACTACAACGAGGGAGGCTCATGCTGAGCAGTGAAAGTTTGCGAGCTGATGAAAACGACAACTACGCTCACTAGTTTGATGAGTTTGCCACCCGACTATCTTTCCTCACTATCAGATATCAGTTTATTTTTAAAATATAATAAGATGACAAACGATGATACTGTGACCCATAAACATCTATATCTGTCCTCGATTCTAAGAATTCTAAGAAATTAAGAATCTAAATTCAGATGCGTTCAGAGGACTAAGTTGGAATGCCTCGTTTCCAGTAATAAGGGTTTCCGGTTCATTACTATCACCATACGAAACACAGCAACATTGAGCTGTTATTTTACGCTGGTATTCTGTGAGAGCGTGATCCTTCCCCAGTCGAGCCGACCTATTCTTGCTACAACTATACTAGTAATATAGTTGCAGCGTGGCTCTACCACGTAAAGTAACAGTTCTTTGCAAGGTTGACCCATTGCTATTTCAGTTACATATATGGCGCAGCAGCCGGTTACTATAGTGCCACTGCGGATATATACATTACGAATTCTATCACACAAATAAATTCCGGGCATAGTTCTCTCATAGCTTAATACGATTTATTTAATGTTCTAAATACATATAAACGAATAAATATGCTGATCAAAATAAATGACAAGGAATTATAAGATACAAACACACGCAAGGGAGCAAAATTTCGGCTTTATAGCTTTCCCGAATGCTCCCAAATGTATTATAAATACTGCGTTGTAGCTTAGAATGTGTCAAGTTAACCGTAAAAGCGCACAACTTCTATTTTGTAGAGAATTTTTATGACCTGATTTAAAGAGACATTACTGAGTAAAATATTACATTGTGTCATTTATATTAACAATATATTATATATAGACTTGTAACCTATAGTGTTCACCTTGTGTGGTGAAAGAATATCCATTACACCAAATCTTGCCACGGGAGCCGTAAAAGGCGACTGAGGGGACAAACTAGGAATAAGCAGCAGTGTCTTCCCAATGACAACTTGAAGAAAAAACTGTGGTTGCCAACCCGAGTAACACACGTGGCGACTATGGCAAAGGCAATCTAAGAGGAGCCTCCCCTTATTTACATCCAGCAGTACATTTTATCCCGGATTTGGTATTACGTGATATTGCCCTGACTTCTGTGTGCTTATAGTTCTCTTCTGCAAACAAAGATAGTTTTAATGTCAGTCGCATTACCTCATAGCAAGATTCCATATTAATCTCATATAATGCTATGGAAATAAGTAAAATAAACAACACAATAAGGCCTCTAATCTCAAATTACATAAAAATTTTACAGCACTGCCGAACTAACACTGCTTGCTAGTTAAGATAGATGTGGGTGCCCCATTGAAGGGTCGAGAGTGATTCCGTTAAACTGTAGTATCAACAAAACCCAACTTTTCTCCATCCGAAATAACTTTAGTAATTATATGTTTAACATTCGTGTTTGCTGTGCATGTTTTTACTATTTCATGCAATCAGGAAGTATACTAGATTCAAGACTAGTAATAAAAGAGTGGTGGAGCGAATGTATCTGAATACTGACTAGTACGGGTATGCAACCTAAGCTCCTGGAGATACCACTAACTTATTTAGGTTTTTCTCTAATACAACCTTTATACCCTATTCCCATGCTATCCTATCTTCTTTTTCTCGAAACCTTGTCCCGTTTTACATTTTCTTTCGATCTCCTAATTCATGGCAGTATAACTGACCTCTGACTTACAAGTTTCGGTAATTATATCTAGCAATAGTATAACCAAAGTAATAATACCCAAACGAAACTGTCATAAGCACCATATTTGTAATGCAAGGTTATTGAAACCTTTTCCTATGGTGGCCAACATACGAATTTTTAAAGGCTACTAAATATAATGTTTCAATTGTTACAGTTAGATTGGATGTTAGCTGACAATACGCCGATGACGTCAGTGGCTGGACTTCGGCGGGTGCTCATGAACGGTTCGCTGGAATTCCCTCCCTTTCCTGCTGAGAGGTATAGGCGTGACGTGCACACCGCCACGTACAAATGTAGAGCGAAGTTGAACAACGGTTATGCTGTACTGTCGAAGAATATTCACATACACGCAGGTAAAACATAATATTATAATGAATACTTCTTTTGAAAAATAAATGCCATCAAAAACATAACTTGTAAAAAAAACAAGTCTTGCTACTCAGTTCTTCTACCGTAAAAAGTTGTGAGATCCATATAATACCAAGCCGGTTAATTTATTCAGTCCCTACTTAAGGGTCCTTTTGTCTCAAGTTATTACGTAATTAGCTAACCTAACAATATCTTATAGTGACCATATCAATATTAAAAATCTTTTAAATACATGGATTAACTTGGCAATCGTACTAAACATTCTAATTTAATATAATATGTATTACTTGTGAGATATATTATGTTTCATGCGATGGCCAAGTCAATTTCACAACGAAGTTATAGGGGATCGAAAATGGCCTGAACTGCTTCGAGAAAAGGATGGTACGGCCGTGCCGCTTTTTTTTTCAAAAAGTTGCCCATATGTTACGCTGTACTTACTTAATGTACGCTATCTATCTGAACAATATTTTAGTATTAAACGTACCATGGGAAGTACACGTGCCGGATGAATATGTGATGGCGGGTAACGCGGCGGTGCTGCGTTGTTTGGTGTCCGCACACTGCGTCGACCGCATCGCCACCACTGACTGGTTTACCGAAGACGACATCAGCGTATTTCACTATTTAGGTAAGTATAATATCATGCAAAATATCATAATACATACTGTAGTGTGTAAGTATATCCACTATTCCATATCGTCCCATGGGTGTCGAAAGAGGCGACATAGGGAAAAAAACTAGGAGATGGGCAGCAGCGTCTTTTATACAACTAGAAATAAAACTGCGGTTACCAACCCGCCTGCCAAGCGTAGCAACTATGGCAAATATATGAGGCAATCTATGGGGGAGGCATAGGCCTCCGTCATAACTAAAAACTTATTTGCATAATATTATCAGTAGTGGACTTTTCATAGGATGTAACGGTAATATTATGCAAATAAGTTTTTAAAATGTCCAATGTTTTTACCGCCGTTTTATTTCTCAAACTGCCAGTGGAATGAAATGCTTTGTTGAGATTCCCAAGTACACTGCAACGTACTGCTTTTATCATACGTCTGGATTTCTTTATTTCAGTAATATGTCGTGTTTTTTTATGTTCGTGAAAGATGGAAGCAAAAGAAAGACTAGAGTAAAGATTAACCCTTTAACGGGCATTGCAAACTAGGCAGAATAAGATCAAACAGGGTAGTGATTCCAAGTAATAACTAGTTAACAAGTGTATCTCTGAAAAAAAATTCTGTAACATAGTTTTTCAGGCGTGGCATAATATTTTCCTATGAGCGGCAAGGAAATTACTTTGTAAATTATTTTTCCAATACTTGAAGAAAAATAAAACAAAAATTATATAAGTACTAGCTGGCCAGGCAGACGTTGTTCTGCCCTCTCCGACGACCCTGTATCCTATAAAAATTATTAAATTCGTAATAAAAAATATTGAGGATCACTTATAGGGATAAAAACTATCCTACCTCTCAAGTTGGACCATACTGCACACAGTTTGAATTTCATTAATTTGACACGTAATTTTATGTATAAAGATATCGGCGCAGCAACATAGTATAATCACGTAAAACAAAAATCACGTATTCATGAAAAACAGTGTTATTAATATTGTTTATGTTTATGCTATGCTCGGGAAGCACGGCCGCTCCGAGAATTCTGCAGTTAGTGAACATGTTCAAGATCACCCCTGCCGATTGAACACCGATTACTACCAAGGATGATTCACGATGCTATTGAAATTAAAAACATCCTGATGTCAATAGAGAAGATGGATGGGTGCTACCATCTCCTTGGGATCCTATAATTAATAAAATTAAATCCAAACCCAAACATACCACTGCAAGACTTCAAGATACTATAAGGTCGTTCTACGTAGATCGAACCAAAAATTAGTATTAAAAACTGAAGGTAGCTGGGCTAACTATGACATCGGGACGTCAAACACTTCAGTCCCCACGTGACCATGGGTGCTGCTGTAAAACACCAGAAACATCGTTAATTCAAAAAGTTAAAATTAAACGCGATAAAAGCGTAAAATAAGAATATCGTTGCCTTTGGTCGCTTCTGAGACAAAGTAATCAGAGGAATGTTATCATCCGACAATTCCTCAAAGTCTTGCTCTTTTGGGTTTACAAGATTAGAATTAGGTTTCCTTTTTTTCTTTTGTCGCTTTTTTGCCAAAATTCTTAGAATAGTGTTATCTTCTGAAGATTCCGCATTACTTTGTTTCTTTCTTCGATCAACCAAATCATTAGACGTAAACAAAGTCCCTATTTGACATCTGGAATAATTAAAAAATATAACTAAGCTTTGGCAAGTATTTTGTTCGCCCCAGATACGTTTACTTCCGGCCAGAGGAAAATATTTAGCCGAGCATATTCAGTTCACGGGCATTGGCAAACTCGAAGATTCACTTTCATAATTAGATACCAATATTATATATTGTCGAAAATATAATGGAATACGATAGAATAGTCATTCACCAATATAATAAAAATTTTACACGGCCAAATTTGAAAATTAAATAGATTCCAAAAAATCACCTAACTAACGCCAATTTTTTCTAATGACGTTTTCCAAAATGGCGGAAGAACTGAGAGCTGTAGAAATAATTTTATTACATCGACCGTAGATGGAGCGAAGGCCGTTGAGTGTTATTGATGATAATTATGGTTTATTTTTTGACAGCATTACGAAACTTGGCCTGGCAAGTATTTTGCCTATACCACTTTCATTGGTAAAGAGTGAATTAAGAGAGTAATAATTTTCATCTGATACATACTAAGGTGTAAGTGTTCCAGCTTTCTCACGCAATGAGTAGGTATTTGTAATAATATTAGAGTTTCAAAAAACTTAAACAACACGCATCGTTCATGAGCTGTGATAATCCTAGTAAGAATATCAGACCATAGTCATTAAATTATTTTATTGTCATCGGTTCTTAATACATCTGCAAAATTTCAAATAAATCAGACTTCTAGAAGTGAGTTAAAATTTAATTACAAAATTCCATTACACCAATACATACTTACAGGTCAAGCTAATATAAGGCGTCATCATCATCATCATCATTACAGCCCTTCACAAGTCCACTGCTGAACATAGTCCTCCCCCAAAGAATGCCACAAAACACGGTCCTGAGCCACCTGCATCCATCGACTTCCTGCATGTCTTACAGGTCGTCATTCCATCTAGTGGGATGACGCCCTACACTTCGTCCGCCGGTACGAGGCCGCCACTCGAGAACCTTTTTTTCCCATCGGTTGTCGGTTCTTCGAGCTATATGGCCGACCTATTGCCACTTCAGCTTACTAATCCGTTGGGCTATGTCAGTCACTCTGGTTCTACTGTGGATATCCTCATTTCTAAGTTTATCACGCAGAGAAACTCTGAGCATAGCCCTCTCCATAGCTCGCTGAGCAACCTTGAGCTTCCTCATCCGGCCAGCAGTGAACGGATGAATATAAGGAGTGTAATTATTTTATTTTCTCCTGGTGATCCTGATCAGAATACTAGGATAAAATTATTAAATTATTATTAAATAATTGTATTGTCATCGATGTAAATATCCAAGTCCATCGACCGCGTACAAATTGGTGAAAATTACATTTTTCGATTAAAATACATTTACAGATTATATTTACAGATTCCGTTACATAGATAGATAGATAGATAGAGAGACACTAAGCTAATAAAAGCGTGTTAAATTTTGATACAAATATTAGTCGGGTGTCTGTAATTGTATATCGTATGCTGTATTTTCGTATCGACTCCTATCGTAGTCCGATTTCTAAGAAACATAATAATTGATATCATATAACAACCACATATTGGAGCTCTTAAAGACTATATCATTTCTTTTATACAAATAAATATAATTTAGCACTATTAAATGAATCTCTACTACATTAATCGCCATGTTACCTGTACTATTATGTATTCTGTGGCCATGGAAAAGGTGTTATTATCTAAAATATTAAGTTATTATAACAGAGCGGAGGCCGTTGATCGAAGCAAAGCGGGCGTAGCCCTCGTATCCCTCCTATACAATTTTTATTGTTGTCACCTCTGAAACTAAATAAATACATTTGCGACCACCACAAAATACAAAACCTTTTATCTCCTAGCTTAATATTTACTCAGAACGTGAAAGACGATTTTCCATAAAATTTTCCCTTACCTTTATTTTTAGGGTTGCGCTACAACGCAACCAATGATTTAACAAAGTTGTGTCCGTAGAGTATAAAGTCTCTGTCCATCTAATGTGTTACAGCTTTGTGACTAGAAGTTCTAGACAGAAATGGAACTAAACAAAAAATTTAATTATATTTGTTAGATAAACCGATGACCCGCTCCGTGGACAAAGGACTACTTACGTAGTAGAGTCATGCTGCAGCTATATTATGGTTGTAGCACGAATGGGTCGACTCGACCGGGGAAGGACCACGCTCTCACAGAATACCAGCGTAAAATAGCAGCTTTACGCTGCTGTGTTTCGTATGGTGAGTGTAGAGAACCGGAGACCCTTTTTACTGGAAACGAGGCATTCCATCTTAGTCCTCACGGGTGACAACGTATCTGCATTTTGATTCTTAATCGAAGACAGATATAGATGTCTATAGGCCACAGCTACCACTTACCATCAGGCGGACTGTGTGCTCGTTTGTCACCCTTATCGTATAAAAAAAAGAGGAAATCTGAAACAGGAAATGACTAGCATTTTCCTGATAACAACTCAAAGTAATAAAAAACTGCGGCTGCCAACCCTTCTGCCAATTATGGCAGCTATTTTTTTATAAGAGAGGGGGCTAACGAGCATACGGCTAACCTGATGGTAAGTGACTACCGCCACCTATGAACCACTGCAACACCAGGGGAATTGCAGATGCCTTGCCGGTCTTTTAAAAAGAGTATGTTCTTTTCTTGTAGGTCCCTAAGTCGTGTAGGTTCATAAACATTGCTGATGGTATTCCATTACACAAGGAATTTGTGCGAGGAAGAAAATTTCTTCTAAATCGCACAGTAGTGCACCGTCAATCATCCAGATGGTATGGATGGGCTTTCAAATTCTGTCGCGATGTGCGATGCCTCTAAGCACTCCCCGTGGTAGATACGATAGAATATGCAAAGAGATGCAACATCGATTCGCTGCGCCAGTGAGTCAAGCCGATCAGAAAGAACTCGGTCGCTGACGATTCGAACCATTCTGCGCTGGATGCAATCAAATGATAGGAGCTGGCACTGGGGAGCCCAGGCCCAGAGATGGGAACAGTATCCCATATACGACCGAACCTGAGCCTCGTAAAGATGCAGGCGGTGTGCCGACATGAAATACTGTCTCACTCTACTGAGCACGCCAAGATTTTTAGAGGCTAATTTGGCCTTCTCTTCCCAGTGACCATAAAATTCGATATTTTGACGCCGAGGATTCACATACTGGCTGAGACAACAAGTAGAATGCCTTGAAACTGAGAAGACACGACAAAGGAGTTCCGGTAAACACGCATACTTTTGTCTTTTGGGATTGAAATGGACTAGATTTAGCCACCCGCAATCCGACACTATGTTCAACAATGTCTCAACTTCAGATACAAGTTTGCTCCGGCACTCGGCGACGTTTTCTTGAGAAATATTTGCAGGACTGGTTCGTGCTGTCGTCCGCATAGCAATGAATGTTATCGGTTTGCAACATATCATTGATATGCATAAGAAACAGCGTTAGTGATAGCACGCAGCCTTGTGCAACACCAGCCATAATAGACTTGCAATCGGAGCATGCACCGTCTGCTACGACCTCGATGCTTCGATCAGCTATCTTCAAAGCTTCGAAAGAAGCGTTTTGTGCCAAACCCGATCGAAGGCCTTCGCTATGTCCAAACTAACCCCTAAGGCCTCCCCTTGAGACTCGATCGCCTGCGCCCATGTGTGTGTTAGGTAAACAAGAAGGTCACGAGCTGTATAACCCCTACGTGCATGGCAGCTATGGCATAATCCCCCCTATGCGGCAATCTATGGGAGAGGCCTATGTTTAGCAGTGAACTTTATAGGCTGTAATGGATGGACGGACGGATGATGACGGATTCTTTCGATGAAGTTCTAAGATAAAAAATGTTATAAATGTATAATTTTCAATTAGATATATTTTTTACATTAACAGATTATTTTAAAGACATACATACATAAACACTCACAACTGTCACCCAGAGGGGACTACGGACTTCCATTTGGCACGATTCTGACACACCTAAGTTTTAAATAAGTTAGTATTATAGCATAATCCATTTCATCATCATTTTCTAAACATCTACTACATCTATCTATACCTACATCATGACACGGCGACGGTAATCTACGATCCGCGTGGCGATGTGGCGATGGCGTTCTATGTATAGGCGATAGAGTGCGGCGTTGAACGCGCGACGGCGACGTAACCCGTACACGGGGATCCACCTGGTTCATTTCTACGGCGACTCCATTGACCCTCTGTATCGTATCTACGTGGCGTGGTTGATCGTTATTCGCAACCGACCTCTCCTGGGCATCTTCAGCGTACACGTAACCGGTTACCATATTTAATTTATGTTGTTTTCCGTAGGACCGAAGTACCAGCGCCTAGACGATGGATCGTTGTATATAAGTGCAGTGAGTTCCGAGGACCGGTACAACGCATTCCGGTGTCGTGTACGAGACCGGATAACTGGCAATATGCATTTTAGCCAGTATTTTGGTGAGTAAAAGATCTTAACTTATAAATTAAAATAAAATAATAATGGGTATACGGCTCATGAAAAGCACTATAGTTAAGTATTTAATATCAGTGTTAAAATTCAGAGGTAAAAACTAAAAAGCAATATTATGTTACATGTTTAGTTATATATACATGTATAACAATATGTTTTAAGATTTATGATCCCGTTTATTTTATTACAAAAAACTAATAACTAAGCTTTACGACAAAGCACAATAATTTCGCTCCTACATAGGTGTAATTTTAAAGTATGAAAGCTTTATTTAAACTAATAAAACGCATATATTATGTTACATTATAGAGATTACATTATTAGAGGATAAAATTTTACGTCCTTAAAATATAAAATGTAATTTATATTGAAAAGGACAGATTAACTTACCAAATATTAAGCAAATTGAAAATGGTTTATATCTACCAACATAATTTTTATTCATTATAAATTCATCAATTTAATTCTCAAATGAAAAGGAGAATGGGATTTTTGGGCCTGAAGTTAACTAATTTATTTATACTTTAAAAAATTGGCTATATTTTTCTAAAGTTAAATATAAAAACCTAGCTATTTTTACAATTTAAATCTAGATATCGAAAAAATAATAAAGTAATAAATAAGTTAGAAAATCGATTGTATTGATGCAATCGACTTTATATTTATTTGGATCCAAAAAAATTAAATGAAAAAGCTGATATATTGATATAATATATTCATTTGGAAATAAAGTTTATTATTATTCGCATAAGGAAAAAAGAAATAAACATTTTATGGAAATAAATCGATTACCATAAAGAATACACTTGTGAAATTCTCTTTTCTGTACACTAATAACCACTAGTAATTTTTATTAGTTAGTTTTGACAGTTCAAACTTCAAAACTATTCATTAAAAGAAAAAATAAATAAATTTTCGATTTTCGATTTGATTTGAAACGAGTGCAATATAATCGAGTCTTGATTAAATGTAGCATTTTAATATCTATTTTTAATTATTTTTCTGAGTTAACTAGCTCCCCAGTAAAACTATAAAAAATAGGAACATATCTACAAAATAATATGAAAAAATACAAAGTATCATCATGCCAACAAATAACAATAACAACAATAATTCAAGTAATCAATCTCAGATCGATATTTCTAATATGCATTTCAATTAGTTGTTGTTGTTTTAATTTTCATTAATCGTTTCACTATTTTGTTTCCTAGATAACCACAGCTTTTCTTTGGTGATTTTATACTGATCCGGATTTTATATCTTTAAATAATTATAGTGAAAAATAACGTCTTACAGTGTTATTACAGTGAAAAATCGCCTGTTACAGTGTAGGTAATACATAAAATCGCGTTTATTTATTCTTCAATAACTCAGCTCCTAGATTGACAAATCTAGCCAGATTTTCAGCTATGAATTATTTATATGTATGCTTTCAAATGGTCCGACTTTCATCTTGTTAACATCTGGGCCCAAAAATATATGGAGATGTCTCCTTCTCCTTTTATTTTTGTAAAAAATACTTTGTACGATAGTTTATACATGGGTGTCGTGAAATTAGATTAAATAGTTTTTAATTTCTTGTAAAGCTACCCGAGAATGGAGGCTAAATTGATCGGCCGGCTAAACTATTGGCAAGTTTCTGTAAAATCCATATTGCACTGATCCAACCAGTCGGTAAGAAACCACTCAATACACGTTAAAGTTAATTACCCGACGAAACAAAGTTTCTGTTTCCAAAACCGGCCGATCACAACAGACCCATCACAAATACTCGTGCTGCTTCTGGGTGTGACTTCCAGCAGAACGCGGCATTCACAAACATGCGACGTGGTGTCGACATAAAATCCACTCATTTCATCCCGAGTTGGAACTCGAGTTTTTCTATAAACTATTAATAATCGCCTTTAAATTACCCAGCAAATCTAGTGTCACCGATATATTGCGGTCATCATCGTAGTATTTTCTACAAGAATGAAATGACGTGGTAGAGCCACGCTGCTACATTATGCTATATTATGATTGTGGCACGAACGGGTCGGCTTGACCTGGGACGGATAACGCTGTCACAGAATACCAGCGTAAAATAGCAGCAGCTTTTTACCGCTATATTTCGTATGGTAAGTGTAGAGAATCGGAGACCCTTTTTACTGGAAATGGAGGAATCTAACTTAGTCCTCAATGGTGACAAGACATTTGTGACAAGATAGATGTAGATGTCTACGGGCCATAGTATCAACTTAACATCAGATGGACAGTATACTTGTTAGTCAATCTTATACTTTAAAACGCAGCGTCTTATGGATGCCATACACGATCCAGTTTACCATCAAGTTTGCAGCGCGCTTGAAGCGGCGTCAAGTTTGCAGTACATCCATATAGACCACTCACGTTCAAGTTCGCCGTCAAGCTTACACGATGCGGCATCAGTTGAAACCATGGCGTCTCTCGCTTATTTGCTCCGACTACCGTCATGCATACTTGACCGCTCATACACACGTTCAAGTTTGCATGACGCTGCGAGCTTGATCAAGTCGGCAGAATCGAAATTCAATTTCTGCTTCAAGTAGACTTGTCATGCACACTCATAGCCATACACCGTCAAGTTTATGGCATCCATTAGGTGCAGGACGTCTGGTACTGTGATCACCAAGCCTGGCAAGCGTGATAATTACTACAAATCTTCTCTACATGAGAAACATATGATTACAAATGTTCTATCAACAAGCTGATGAGGATTTAGTGGATATTAGGCTAGATTAAAAATATGTAGAACTCGGCAAATTTAATTTACGGGGTCAATTAGTAAGTGGTGGTTAAGCTAACAAGAAGGGTCAAACTTTTCTTTTTTTTTTAGGATAGGGTGATAAACGAGCACACAGTTCACCTGATGGTAAGTGGTTGCTGTAACACATAGACATTCACATCTATCCTTAAAAAAGAATCAAAATGCAGATGCGTTGTCACCCGTGAGAACTAAGATGGAATGCCTCTTTTCCAGTAAAAAGGGTCTCCGGTTCTCTACATTCACCATACGAAACACAGCATAGTTAAGCTGCTATTTTACGCTGAGCCATTCGTACTACAACTATACTACTAATATAGCTGCAACATGGCTCTACTACGTATGTTGCTACTTATGTTGCTAACTTCCTTATACATTTTAACCACTGTCTTGAATATCTCATTAATGGCTATAATAATAAATAATATAAATAATTATCTCTAGGACGCATAATCGTAACGGAACCTAAAGGAGAAGTAAGGCCACGTTTGGTTTTGGAACCACATTCACGACGTGTGCAAGTAGGACAAGATGTTCGACTACCGTGTGCTGGTCATGCGTGGCCTGTGCCTAGTTACAGGTAAAACATACGTTTTTTTAGTGACTTTTTTATATTTTTTTATAGCTAACTTTTATTGTGAATTATTGTGAACACTACACATTGAATTAAACTAGTTTTTCACGGATTTCATCGCATTCAACCAACTTATTTTATGTTCCCGACGTGTCGAGTACTTTGCAGCACCCATGTTCACAAAAATTAGTTTCATTTAAAGTTAACTAGTTAAATCCCTTTATGCTTAAAATACTTATACACAGTACGGTTCACGACAAACGGTGGTTTCCAACCTACAGTATTTAGATTTGTTATCTACACTTGCGACTTTTTACGTAAGTATACAATAAACGAAATGCAGCTATAATATTTAACAAAAAATAATTCCATTCCATGTCTTAGAAAACGATAATAGCGAGAAACTAGTTAACCTATTGTGTGTAGGCTACTCGGTAAATTATTATATAAGATAAAATTTAAAGAATTTTGTACTAAATTATTAACAATTTTTTTTTTATATAAACACTACAGTCTATAAAGCATAAAGTGTAGTTGTAGTCGTCGTCGCATAGTAAGTGGTCATAAATAGTAATTTCTATTTTACGTTCCACTGATAAGTAATTCTGAGATTATTTTTATTTCATCCTTATTTGGAAATAGGAATTATTTTGAAATACAAAATATTAAGAAAGATTTCGCCACACTACGCCACTTCTGAACATATGCCTACCCCATAGTTTGCCTGATAGGGGCGATATTTGCAATAGTTGCCACGCTCGGCATGCGGGTTATTTAATAAATACGTATATTCTAGCGTATTTAGCAAGAGAACAATATAATTAAACGATCTACCAGTACAGTTCATATATAATGATCTGAACGTGAAAAATCTATTGGTAACATAATATGTATAACGTTTGCTATATGACGTGACAAATGCCAAGGTTCTATTTAGTTGAGATATTAATCTAATCTAGTACTGAGATTTATGAGCAATTTCATAATCTCCGAGCGAAATATTTGATTCGTTTTAACTGCCAAGGAGCAATTTATTCCGCAATGGTGAGCAAATTCCATTTAGAAGCTCGTGAAATTGCCTGGCAGCTGTAAACAAATTCGTTGTAAATAATAAAAAATAAATTATTCATAAATACGGTAAACTTTATTCCATTCCCCATAGATTGCCTCAAAGGAGATGTTTTGACATAGTTTCCACACTTGGCATGCGGGTTGGCAACCACAGTTTTTATTATTTCCAATAGAAAAACTTGCTATATCTATAGCCTGCATTGCAACGGACATCTCTACCTAATATTTAACGTTTATACATTTGTTAATTATATTCTGTAATTTTACGAACCCTTGCATACGCTATATAAATAGGCTCACGGATTAAATGCGGGTTCAAGGTACAAGTTTACACAGGAATATTTGCATAGGCTGTTAACAATTTAATGTAAGTATTTACATGTATTTGTGTAAAGCTTTGAATGGTCTAACCTTGTAACAGTACCTAAAAAAGTATATAATATATAGAATACAATACAATACACGTTTGGTGATGTTGCAGACTTTCGTTTGTACAGTGGTCATGTTAAGTAATTATTCGAAATGTAATTATTTATAGTGTAATGACACTATAAATAATTACATTTCGAATAATTGTTAAAATAATATAAATTTTGGGAATACATAATAATAACATAAGTCTAGTATATCCCTAAGTATAAGAAACCAAGAAAATAAAAGACAGGGAGAAAAGAAAGTTGATTTTACGCGTATAAAAAATAAAAAAGGTGATAAGTCGATTTATCACGCGTTAGACGGTGAAAAAAAAACAGAAAAACGGTATATCCAAGTAATAAAAGGTACCATAATAACATCTGAATTTTATATTTGATAAATGATATAAACTATAACAAAAATCTACTTTACTTATACGGTTTTTTATCTCAAGGTGCTCAGGGGAATTAATCAAAACAATTCCAGCCACTAAATTTCACCAACACACACCGCGATAAAACTCGCGATAATATTCATTTTCTTCCCCGCACAACTTCCTTGTGGAGTTGATTACCACCAACGATTTTACGAGTTAGAGACCTTCAATAAAAGCGCCTACTCTTTATTCAAAGACCGGCAACGCACCTGCGATACCCCTAGTGTTGCAGTTGTTTATAGCTAGCGGTAGTCACTTATTATCAGGTGAGCCGCATGTTCGTTTGACCCCTATTATATAAAATAGTATCTAACCTAATAAAGAATAAGGTGTTACAAAAAAAAATGTATTTTTTTTTTTCTTCATATCACCTTATTCTTGAATTATAATTTACGTTATAACATGGATAGCACCTATTAGGACACAATTATGGGTTGTAAATATAAATAACATTTTGATATAATAACATAAAATAGTATTCGCCTATTTGTTTAAAATTAATTAATAAATACGCATATCTTTTAAATTTTATCTAAAAATTAATATCGTTAAAACATATTTACTGCGCATTTTCTTTCAAGTCCATACCGTACTCTATGCTATCCGAGTCGAGAGAATTACGTTGCAAAAATGCAGAAAGTTGAATGCCCCTTTACAAGCCACGGTCGCAAAGTTCTTCAGAATGCAAATTTCTTGCTGCATTGCAATTTCTTTTTAAACTATTTTCAAAATTACATCCAGTTAAAATGGTTTTAAAATGTTTACAACATGCGCTCTATATTATAGTACTGTGTTGTATATAGGGGTAGGACTGTCAAACTGACATTTCTCTTCGCATTGCGCACTAACTTCATGTGCGTTGTGTAGAATATGCGAAAATCAAACTAAAATACATTTACGTTACCTCCCACTGGACTCCGGCCTCCCATAATTTCTGAGAGGGTTATGGTGCAATTAGTCCTCGAAATATTTTACTCTTCAGACATGCATGTTTAACGATATTTTTCTTTACTGCCAAGCTTGTAGTAAATCAGCACTTAAAATTGATTCCGCCAGGGATCGAACTCGGGTCGCGTACTGTGGAATTTACGGCAAGTCTGAGAGCAAGTGCTGTCTACTACTGCATTTAGTAAAGTAGTTATTTTTATTTAAATTGTTATTTCAACCTTATGTTCTGAACACATTTGTTGTATTTTGCTTAAAATTAGTAAAATAATGATTTTAAAGCGTTGACATAATGGCATGGCGGTGTCATGAAAATTGACGTTTAGATAATAGTTCTTAGTCAGCCCAATCCTATTCTTATCCTGTGCGTTTAATACATACCAATACATAACTTTTGTTTTAAATTTTCTTCTAATAAAATCACCGTAATACAAATTTAGTTGCCAAAACCTAAATACCCCTTTTAGAAAATAAATATAACTACACAAATGATCAAAAAAAAAGTAACGATATTTTTTTTAATTACCAAATGAATAAAAATGATAAATTACATACCATAATATAAACTTTTCTCTCTATATATATATATTAAATTAATGGCCTTCCGATAGTACAGTACCTCGGGTACGCTAGGTGTTGCTGTAGAACGTTGATCCCTTTGATCAATGGCGCCTCCATATTGGAACTAAACACGGACGAGTATCATTATGCGTTCATATCACACCTCTATCGATAATTATTGGGAACCAATAATGAATGGGAAAGAAAGGTGGCACGTGACCTTTGGCAAGTGCAGTGTAGGGCAAGCATGCACTAGCAAGTGGTGATAATACACATCAGAACTGCGATTCCTTTGCCAAAAAGAATGAAATGCTGCTATGGAAGGCTGATGAAAGAAAAGTAAAAAACAAGGCCATGTTCTACTACGATGCGAAAGTTCTGTTCGAATCCATGGCCCACGTAGTATAATAAGTATTAAGTAACGTTATATGAGTAAGTCATGTATATTAGGGTATGTTGGGACTGACATACGCTAAGCGGTAAATGTCCCTTAAATTATAATAGAATAAAAAAGGCCATGTTCTAAACTATTAGGAATTCCGCACCGTTCGGTAGGATTTCTTTTTGCCTACGAGTCTATATGGGTACGAATTCTATATTTTTCTGTTTTTTTTTTCAAAGGTTTTTTAAATTAATAAATTTGAAAATCGCATATAAATACTTAAACAAGATTAGTAGTTAAGAAAATATTTTTTTCTAGGTGGTTTCGGGAACATCATGATCAGTTAATACCAATAAAGAAATCACCCATAAGAGATCGGAGTGTATTACTCGGTGGTGGTCTGCTCGGCATCAACGACGTGCATAGAGAGGACGCTGGCAGATTCGTGTGTTATCTAAATAATTCAGCTGGTGAAGAAGCTTTACATTTTACACTTATAATAACAGGTACATTTAATATTTTTTTGAACATAATGTATTTCACAGTTTTATCTACATTACTATAGCTTTAGAGCAGCTGAATACTATAGCTACAGACAGCTGTAGTACACTGCAATTAAATACTAGCTGTCATTGAGGCTCCATGGAGGCAGAACAACACGGTCAAATATTAACGCAGCCGCGCCACGTGCGAAATAAAAACCGGAAAAAATCGCTACTACGTCTTGGAATATGGACTACAAATATTTATTTACACTAATTTGTCTTCAAACGTCTGTTTTCATTATAATGATATTTTACAATCAAATGCACAAAAGAGCTTGAATCCTTTTCTTACAGAACCAATCTCCGTCCGCATAAAACCCGAAGTAACACGAACAAAAGTGAACTCCAACATAACTTTCGACTGTAAAGTAACAGGCCATCCAATAGAAATAGTTTACTGGTTACATAACGGAAAAGTCGTAAAGCCCAATGAAAGAGTGAGGATATCAGAAGACGGTTTTAGAATATATATCAAGAACTCGCAAAAGAATGATGAAGGGGTGTATCAATGTTTTGCGAGCAACATGCGAGATCAGGCATACGGCATCGCAGAATATACCATTGAACGTAAGTTCATTTTTATTACACATAAATAGCAAATTTTTTTTCTTTGGAGTTTATTGGAGTGTACTCCTTAAGAATCGTTTCATGTATAACGCACGGTATGAAACATAGATGTAACATAGAGCATAGATAAACATAGAGATAAACATAGGGTAGTAAAATCAAGGGATAACAAAAAGTTAAGCCGTTATGGTTCAGCGCCACTGACCTCTATATATACAAGTAGAAGTCAGTGTTGTATGTAATATATTCTATCAAAACAAAATAAGTAAACATATGGGTTAATTTACTTGCTTTGTCTATTGTATATATTTTAAGACAATAGTTTTTCAGACGTAAATTCCAGTCACGCGTCGGAGCTGACGGGCACATTTTTTATATAGTAGGACTCTGTCTATTCTATCCATTTCTGCCGCCAAGCAACAAAGTTTAATTACAGACTGAGAGATATTCTAACTAAATCCTCAAGGGTGATAACATATGTGTGACCTTCGCTTGAAGTAGGTTGATGGTTGATAGTCTCCATAGGCTGCAATAGAATTTGGCGGACGCTATAATATAATAAAAAAACATGTACGTCTTGTAAGGTGCTTAGGCGTTTCACACCACATGCGGTACGGACGACATTATAAATCGCCAAAATGCTCTTTTTCGATGAACCTTTCGGACCATGGTGTGAATATTCCATGTTCTTTTTTATAGTGGAGAGATAATATAATGGTGTAATGATCACATGGTGCAACGCCAAAGTCATCCTTTTTGGTCGGGCCCTCGGGTAGTGGCAACGTGAGAGAATACACCACCTCATAATAAACAGTCTTCTTGATCCATCCATTTATTACTGCCTATAGAAGTCCACTGCTGCCACATAGGCCTTCCCATAGATTGCCGCATAGGTGGCATAATTTTACCATAGTTGCCACGCTTGACAGATCGGTTGGCAAACGCAATTTTTTATTATTTTTAATTGTTACTGCTGAAGATACTGCTGCCGATATCCTGTCTCGGTTTCCCTCTGTCGCCTCTTACGACACCCACGGGACACTATGAGATAGTGGATATTCTTACACCGCCACTAAACGGTTTTCCTGATAAATAGCTCAAAAATAAAAAAAATAAAAACCTGCCTGCCAAGTATGGCAGATATGGAAAATATGTGGGATACTTTCCATATTTGTCATACTTAGCAATATGGAAAATACGAAGCAATCTATGGGGGACGCCTATGTTAGCTGAGGAATTTTGATGGGCTCTTGATATTGATAGGGTATATGGAAAAATTAATTTATGTTACTTGCTCTTTTTTATTTTTATAATTTTTGACCTACTTCTTAAGTATTTTGCGCCATTTTGTATGTTCTTTTTATATTGATACTAGCTGGCCAGGCAGACGTTGTTCTGCCCTTTCCGACGACCATGTGTCCTAAAAAAATTCCTTAAATTCGTAATAAAAAAATATTGAGTGTCACTTATCAGGATAAAAACTATCCTATCTCTCAAGTTGGACCAAACTGCACAGAGTGTGCAAATTTCATTGAAATCAGTTCAGTAGTTTAGGAGTTCATCGCGGACAAACATTGTGACACGTAATTTTATATATAAATATTTAAAAAGAAATAATACAAATTCTGTTTTTTTGATTTGTAATAACAACAAATATTTCAACTAATAACCTATATCAACCATCGAAAACAAATAATTGGTCGTTTCACATCGTGGTTCCCTGATTAAAAAGATCGTGAGCGATTCACCGTCCGTCCGCGCCAATCCGAGCTGCCTGTAACGTCAAACGCTTAAAACTCATCTTGTATATACATTTTAATTCACAATTGTTTCACAAACTTTAAGAAAAGAAAATATATAAGTGCTTTTACAGAATCCGACGGTCGACTTCGAGCCGTAGGTAACCGATCAAGGCGCACTCCTTATGCCCGCAGCGCTCATAACTACGACGCCGCAGATTGGAACTTCACTGGTACGAGAGGTAAAATTCGTTTCAAATAAATTTTTCAAAAAAATATTTACTAAAATTATTGATTTCATAGTTAAAATTTCAACAATTTCACACAATAATTTCACAGCCCATCACAAGTCAATTGCCATCCATTGACATCCATATGCCTCCCCCACAGATTACCACAAAACATGGTCTTGGGCTACCTGCGTCTATCGACACTGCATGTTTCATCACGTCATCGCTTCGTTAACATACAATCTTTAAAATGATTGTAATATTATTTTCATATTTACAACTATATTAATTTCATTTTATATATTATTCCATTTGACTTAATATTCAATAGTACATTTATAACTAGAACCGTTGTAAGCTATTAGAGGTAGCTCTTCAACTCAAACAAAAAGCTTCAGTGACGCAGACCCTCTTGCCAGAGGCGCATTGAGTTTCCTATGCTGAAATACTAAACCGTATAATGATTCAAAATTAAAATCTTATTGCACTTATAATAAAGTCGTTTTTATTTACAACAGAGACAAATATGCCGCATTGTGTCGTTACTATAAAGTCCTCGGTATTTGGTGCGCTTATTTTATACTGGCTTAATAAAAGAAGTCGATGGAAAGAACACGTTTTCTTCGCTTCTAAAAATAATAAATTTTAATATTTGCGTAGACGTATTTTTATATTAAACCACAGAATAAATAATAGTACTACGATTAAACTACCTGGTACTTGGCGCGTTGCAGCCACAGAAAAAATAATTGCGGAAATATCGTTTTAAATTTGGAAGAGTTATATTGTTTAATTAGTAATGATAATACATTAATTGAAGTTGAATGATGTCTAACTTTCAATTTTTTTTGCTACGATACGCGCGCCACCTATAGTAAGTTAATTGTACTATGCCTATCTATAACCTTCTCACAAGTGCAAGCAATAGGTTGATAAAGTTTTAGCAATTTATACCTAGTGAAAGGTGTGGTAGCGCATAAAATACGAACAAGCAAAAATAAATTTTAATATTTGATATAATATTTTGATATATTAATATCTTGTAAATAGACATACAAAAAATAAGGAATTTACATTATTTTAAGCAAAATAAGCGGCCAAGTGCGAGTCGGACTCGTCCATGAAGGGTTCCGTAGCAGCGAGTAACATAATTTACGATTTATGACGTTTAAAAAAAACCTACTTACTAGATCTCGTTCAAACCAATTTTCGGTGGAAGTTTACATGGTCATATATTTTTTTTAGTTTTATCATTAACTTATTTTAGAAATGTATTAAAGGGGGGGGGGGGGGGCACACATTTTACCACTTTGGAAGTGTCTCTCGCGCAAACTGCTCAGTTTAGAAAAAAATTATATTAGAAACCTGAATATTACTTTTGAAGACCTATCCATAGATACCCCATACGTATGGTTTTGATGAAAAAAATTTTTAGAGTTTCAGTTCTAAGTATGGGGAACCCCCAAAATTTATTGTTTTTTTTTTCTATTTTTGTGTGAAAATCTTAATGCGGTTCACAGAATACATCTACTTACCAAGTTTCAACAGCATAATTCTTATAGTTTCGGAAAAAAGTGGCCGTGACATACGGACAGACAGACAGACAGACATGACGAATCCATAAGGGTTCCGTTTTTTGCCATTTGGCTACAGAACCCTAAAAATTCATGCAAATTTTTTAAATTATCAAAATATTGTTATCAAAATATAGATTAGGAACGCCAATTAGAATTACACATTTTCATATTATATTTCTCAAATGTATCTCACGATTAGAAACATGCCTATTTTAAAAATGCAATAAAGCACAGAAGAACTAGCCACGTTGCTTAAGGACAAACTTTACAAGTCCTTGAAATCTATTTCTTAGGCATTATTTTCCCAATGCTTTCGGTTACCGCTGAGTACCGCAGAATATTTATAAGTAAATTATTCACTAAATAGTTTTAGACAGTGCTGATATCAAAGATAGAGCTTGATCTGATTATTTTACATCCTCATTCATCATCGCTACAGCCACTGTTGTAAGTCTTGTAAGTCCACTGCTGAACATAGGCCTCCCACAAGTATGTTACTGAGCCACCTGTATCCATCAACTTCCTACATGTCTTACCAGGTCTTCACTTCATCTTGTGGGGGGCCGCCCTACACTTCGCCTACCGGTACGAGGCTACTCTAAATCGGTTGTCGATTCTTCGAGCTATATGACCAGCTCATTGCCACTTCAGCTTACTAATCCATTGGGCTATGTCAGTTACTCCGGTTCTACTGCGGAAAGCATAGACCTCTCCATAGCTCGATGAGTGACCTTAAGATTTCTTATACGGCCAGCATTGAAGGACCACGTCTCAGATCCATAAGTTATCGATGGCAACATGTACTGGTTGTACCTCGTTTTCAAATTTTGAGGTACACGCGAGAAATATGCAAACGAAAGAGTAAGTGACAGTGAATTGACTTATTACTATAATCTATTGTTTAATAAACAACCTATGAATAATATATATTATGTGTGTTTATTATATTTGATTGTAGTAAATAATTTTTATCTGAATAATTTGGTTTACAAGAACCCCTCCTCGAGTGAAGGCTTCTTCCAAAGAATCCCAGTGGTCTCCGTCTTTGGCTATTTGTAAGCAATTTGAGCCCGTTATCTTTGTGATATCGTCTTGCCAACGCGCATGGGGTCTTCCTCTGTAGCGTTTCTCCCAGTTGAAGTTGGACTTACCTTGTCGGACTATTTGTGTTAAACATACTCGTCAACAACTTGCGTATAGTAAAGGAATGGAATAATTTGCCGGTGTCCGTCTTTCCGTCCGAATACAATCTGGGCGTCTTTAAGGCAAGAGTGAATAGGATTTACCATCTAGGGCCTCCACCACTTACCACCAGGTGGAATTGTGATCAAGTATTGGCTTACAATAAGTAAAAATAGAAACTGCGAACGCAGTGCTCCCAACAACTACCGGTAAAGGTGTAACATGGACGTTTAAAGTTCATTTAATTAGTTTTAGTAATTATTTTTTTCAAATCCTTGCAATGATGACCAATAATAAAATGAGTTAAAAGTGTTTGGTACTCGTAGATGCAATTGTTGTCGCAAATTATTGAGGAATCTCAAAGTAGCATTATTATTGTTGTCAACTAATTTATTTCATTAAAAAGTTTGAAAATCAACTTCAGTTTTAAAAGTATAAGCACCCTTGAAAAGAGCTTTTTCCTTCTAGTAGAGTAATAAAATTAAAAAATATCTAGTATTTTTTTGTAAAGCCATGGTAGCTCAGTGACTAAGCGCTCGCTGTAAATTTCACAGTACGCGGACAACCTAAGTTCGATCCCCGCCGGTACCAATTAAATTGTTAATTGCAATTTTAAGTGCTGATTTACCACATGCTCGGCGGTGACAGAAAATATCGTGAGAGAACCTGCATGTCTGGAAATAAGAAAAAAAAATCAAAGACATGTGAAGGCCGCTAACACGTATTGGGGCAGCACAGCGGACATTTCCTTGGCCTAAAACCCTCTCAAAAATGAGAGGAAGCCTGTGCCCAGCTGTGGGACGTATATAAGCTGTAACTTTAACTATGTTCGGGAAACGAATTTTTGTTTTTCTGCGTTGAAAATAATTATATTTTATTTTACTTCCTTTTAACATTGTAATTAGACTATGTACAAAATACCACTGCAGAGCTCTCTTCTTATGTTGGAGTGGTGCAGCGTTCGTAACGCTAGTCTCTCTATTAAGTTATTTTTTCCCATATCTGACTGTCCAATAGCATAATTATGTAATAAATGAATTTCATAATGACACTTAAAATGTATTATTTCATTTCTAGAATATTATACGATTAAGAAAATGTCTTAAGCACATAATAAATTCTTAAGCTTCGATTGACAAAGTTAAGCCATTATCGTCACACTAGATGAAGTGGTTAATCTTTTGAAAGTCACGGAATGTTTTTTCTTCTATATTTGAAGCTAAAGGTATTAACCATCAAATTGCCACCGGTGAATATGGCCTTCCCCAATTATATTGTTGTGCCATAATTACATACATAGGCGTATTGATGACACAGTACCTACAAAAGTTTCGCTCATTTGACTCTGCTCCTTGTCAGTGATATAACTGTTATAGTTTTCGTAAATAGTATTCTACACCTCGTATACAATTTTTTTTTGAATAAGGTAACAAACGAGCACACAGTCTACCTGATTGTAAGTGGTTGCTGTAGCCGATAGACATCTACATCCATACACGATTACGAATCAAAATGCAGATGTGTTTTCACCCGTGAGGACTAAGATGGAATGCCTCATTTCCAGTAAGAAAGGTCTCCGATTCTCTACACTCACCATAAGAAACATAGCAGTGAGCGTTAAGCTGCTATTTTATGCTGGTATTCTGTAAGAACGTGGTCCTTCCCCGGTCGAACTGACCCATTCGTGCTACAACTATACCAGTAATCCAGCATGTCTCTACCACATGAAAGATGCATGTGAACGTTTAACTAATATCTGTAGGAGACAGTGAGAGGCATAGGCCTATGCCTTTCACTGTCTACTACAGCCTGCTAGACATTTCCTATAGTCCGATCTATGGATTTTCTTAACGCAGCCAACCTACTAAAAATATTAATGTAGTCTTGATAATATTAATTATTTTTTTAAATGAAGTGACAAACAAACTTACAAACCATCTGATGTTAAGTGCCTACTACAGTCCATGGACACCTGCAGCGCCATCTGCAAAATCAAACCAAAAATGCTACAGAAGCATTGTAATCTCTGAGGACTTAAATGGAATACCTCACAGCCTGTAATTATGCTGGCTCTCTATACTCTTAGGACCAGAACACAGTAGTGTACGCACGACTGCTTGGTGGCAGAAATAAGTAAACGATTGGTACCTACCCATACGGATTCCTAAGCAGAAAAGCGCTACTAGCATCTAGCACCTAGTAAAAAAGACGTAAAAGCTGTAGGCATGTCGCAGCCATCTAGCTCAATTAGCCGTTTGATTAGCAGCCTAGCCTTTTTAGGATTTCGTAACCAATGGGACCCTATGGGTTCGCGTACACCTAATCCGTCATCGGCCGAAGTTTGCTCGGGCGACGACAGCCGAATTCGGACGATCGAATCAAACACTTGTAAAAGAAAGAGTGTGCGTACACAAACTCGACCGTCATCGTCCGATGACGCACGAAATCGGCCGATCAACCGTCAAGTCCGAACTTGTTAGGATTTCTCGACCGCGACTGCCGGCGTCTACAGTGCAAGTTGAGTGTATTTATACCTAGTTTAATTTAATCATTCTGTCTTAATTCTGTTGCTTCTGTCGGTGTTGCTATCTACCTAAACACCTACGGATATTGAAAAATTAATTAGTAGTGTTTATAATAGACCAACCCTGTAGGATAAACATCCAAAAAATTACAATACTCGAGATGTTTCGAAACGGTTATGGGCTGAAGTTGCATCGGAAATAGATATAGCGGTTCCAGACATTAAAAAAATAGAACAACTTTTTTTTAAAGTTTTAAATTAAATTGCGATATGAATTTGCTAAAAGATACATTTCTTCTAATTCCTCCATTTTAAAAAAGCGTCTTCACTCTGTTTAGTAACACACTCAACTACAGAATACCGGCAAGGTCCAATGTCGGCACAAGTGGTACACTGTTGCAGTGTAAGTACATACACGTCCGAGTTACTTGTGCGGGTAGTTCTGTCCGCCATCGGCCGACAAAATCGATTTTGGTGTACACGTACCGTATTACTAAACCTCGATTGTCCATCCGTCCGTCCGTCCATTCGTCTGTCTGTCTGTCTGTCAGCGGGCTGTATTGCATGATTCGTAATGTTTTATATCTGTTGCCGCTATAAAAACAAATAATAAAAATTAAAATAAATTAATAATTAAAAAGGGGTCCCCTACTAGAAACGTGTATTAGAATAGAATAGAATCAAATAGAATAGAATAGAATAGAATAGAATAGCATAATTTTTATTCAATATAGATCACATGTGTAATTCTTATTGAAAGTCATTTTTTACTTTACCACTGGTTCGAAAAAATACCTCTGTCCTGGAAAGAACCAGCAAGAAACCCAGCGGGACTTTTTTTTTATTGAGTCCGACTCGCACTTAGACGGTTATTACTAAACGGCGCCGTTCAACTAGCGGCCTGAATGATATTCAGCCGATGCGTCTAATACAATAATGCACTTATCTTTTAATATAGCGTCAGTAGGTTATGGTGCGGCTGGGGTGGTCCTTGAGCGACCTTAAAGCACATACGCAGTACATAGCACATAATTAGGCACAGACCAGCGACATTACATGACCTGGTCAACTTAATAATTTCATTGAACGAGATGGCGCCGTTTAGTAAAATCGTATATATAATAAGTTGGCGGGATATTAATGGGATGTTAATTGAAAGGCTAACTAAGCTAGTTGGCTGCGACATGCAGAAATCATTCAAAAATAATATGACATTTCGTTGATAATTTGTCAATATGAGTTAGCACTGAAGGGAATAGGATGAGTACCGCATTGTCGTTCTAAAACTCCTCTTCCCCTGCCAAATAACGGCTTAGACAGAAAAGGAGTCCTACCACCTAGATGATACAATCACAGATTAAAATTAACGTAAAAAAACCTGCACTGACAAAATTACACTGACGAAAATTACTTCCAAATGAAGAAATAAATTATATGCAAGTGACAAAAGAATATTGTAATACGGACAATTTAAAGAGCCAGTAAGCAGTGCAAGTTTGCCTACGAATAATACATTCGTTTTTATTATTTTAAGTTAAAATCCTGTCTATATCGTTGAGCCGTCTCGTGCCTCGAGATACACTTTGCGGATTTGCTATCCGTCCCTCGCGTTAATAATACTGGTCTACGTCGCTCATGCTGTTTAAATTCATAGAGATTCTCATTTTTTTGTCATTCAAGTTGATATTAATGCCACAAATTTAATTAGTTTATATCTCAGTCACAGATTTTGACGTATGTCGTGAAAGAAATAATTTTGTTTTTTGTGCTAACGGGAAGCGTACCAGTTTTGCTCTCGTACTATGAAATTGGAATGAAAGCGCTTTTCAGCCTCACAGAATACCAGCGTAAAGCACGTATTCTGTGTAGCAGTAATGCAGCTCAATGCTGCTGTTTCGTATGGTGAGTGTAGAATACCGGAGACCTTTTTACTAGAAACGAGGCATTCTATCTTAGTCCTCAAGAATGACAACGCATCCGTTCTGCAATTTGATACTTATCCGAGTATAAATGTAGATGTCTATGGGCCACAGCATCCATTTACCACCAGGTGGGCACGTTTGCCACCTTTTTTCTATAAAAAAATCCTCTGAGCTCTGTTTGATTATTAGTAACACAATAATAATATGATGTTTATTACTTGAATATAAGGTTTTCTTCTAAACACGCTAGAAATTAAATTATGTTATTTGACGATATTTTTTTTCATTAATTACAGCCTACTTAAAAATATCCATTGCTGAATATAGGCTTCCCCCGTAGATTGTCTCATAGGGGGAATATTTCGCCATAGTTTTTTTTTTATTATTTTTAAGTGGTTGTTAGGAGGATGCTGTCGCACGCTTTGTTTCATTTTCATCTATCGCCTTAAACGACACCTACTGAATAATAGGCGCAGTAAATTCTTTGGACATTAATCGGTGCATTTATTATAATTTATTTGATATCCTTGTTAATTAATACAGGAATGAAGGTAATTGTTAATGAATACGAGTAGAGTGTGAGAGCCACGGTAACTAAGGGGCTAAGCTCTAGCCGTTATTTCACCGTACACAAGTAACCAAGCGTAAGCGAACCGGAACACTAATTAATTGTAGGCCATACAAAATACATATTAAATTGTGCGTATTATAATCCGTATAATTTGCGTACATATTACGGCTATGTGACCGGAATGTAATAATTTTATAGTGCTGACATATAAAATTCAGTTATATTTATTGTGATGTAATATAATAAGCGAAATTCATTTTAAAATGTTGCAAATGATACTACTATACCTATAAAATGTCCAATCCTTGAGCCATGGAAAATAAATTGTAGTGCACTTAATAATTTAACAGTGGTAGAGCCACGCGGCAGCTTTTGCTGTCGCACGGATGGGCCGGCTCGAACCGGGGTGGTACCACGACCTCACAGAATACCAGCGTGAAGTAGAGGTTTACCTCTGCATTTCGCTTGGTGAGTGCAGGTGGCCGGAGGCCCTTTTTACTGGATATGAGGCATTCTATCTTAGTCCTCACGGGTGACAACGCATCTGCATTTTGATTCGCAAACGAGGATAGATGTAGATGTCTATGGGCCGCAGTAACCACTTACCATTAGGTGGACTGTGTGCTCGTTTGTCACCCTTATCCTATAAAAAAAAAGAATAGTATCTATACATATATTTTAGTATACATTAATTTCAGTCATGGCAACTATTCTGAATGGAAACTAGCCGCCAAGCCACTAGCCGACTATAACAGAGCGGTCACCGTTATAGTCTGATGGTACGACAATCTGACACGACCGGGGGGGAGAGATCAAGCGCAGGACCTATATGATTTTTCATTAATATTAATACATACATTAACTAAACAAAACAATATATTGATATAATTTTTTCACAGAATCTAAACCAGAGCTAGTGTACTGGTTTTCCGAGCAAACTTTGCAACCTGGACCCAGCGTGTCTCTAAAGTGTGTCGCCATGGGTCATCCACCGCCTCAGTTTTCGTGGACACTTGACGGATTTCCTATACCAACTAATTCAAGGTAAACACAGATAACACAATTTAGTATTCGTCTTCTATATTTTCATTTTTTATTTAATTTATAAGAAATTAAAATGTGATTATTAACTTGAGATAACTTTATAAGCGATTCTCGTAACAGAACACAAAAATTTACAAGTATCCAAATATAGATTTTATTCACAATTTCTTTGAATGTATGGTTGAAGTAAAACATACACTCACAGAATTTAATCTTAGTATCTTTATACGTTTATCTTTAAAATTAATTTAAAGAAGTGTTGTTTGTCGATTGATATTTAAAATGTTTGAATAATATGTACTTCGCAAAGACTTAAATTACTTGCTTTAAAAAAACCTGAATTTATTTTCAGTTTCGAGTTCAAAGTCTCGTTTAAGATCTTCAAAATTAATTTATACCTAGTAAATTGATTCCTTCTACTTTGCGTGGATCCAATATATTTTGGAAGTGGATAATTTTTAATTAGCTTTGTTTTCAAAAATCTCCGACATGTGGCGGATCCCAAATTGCTGAAACAAGTATACTTGGCTCTTGCTCAATCAATTCTGAATTATTGTATTACTGTGTGGGGAGGTACATCCAAATCGATCTTAAAGCCCCTTGAAATAGCACAAAGAGCAATTCTTAAAGTATGCACATTTAAACCTTTACTTTCACCTACATTTCAGTTATACCAATCATTTGGTGTACTCACTGTTCGTCGGCTATTTATTCTGAATACAGTATTGAAACAACATTCGCGGTTATTATGATAAAGACTTCTTGTTATCTAAACGAAGAAAAGATAAAGTTTGCAAAAATAGACCTATTTCTAGTCATTCTTCTGTTAATAAATATTTTTATCACCTTAGACCATTTCTTTATAACAAAATCAATAAAAAGACCGAATTATACTCTTTAAATAAAAATAAATGCAAAATTAAATTATTAGAATTTCTTCATCAGTTAAACTATGAAGAAACTGAAGCATTACTTACTACAAGTTAATATTACTTATACGCCCTCTTACACACACTCATGCATTCAACATATTATACACAAAGAGATACATTTTAATACACACTTTAACATTTTTCTTTTTATCAAAAATACATTTTGTTAAGATTAATTTTCACATTTTTTTTTTATACCTTCTATTTAAATTATACTAATGTTAGTTTGTTAATATGTAATAAGGAAGAGCACTGTGATCTGAAATACAGATATATATTTATCTAGTTCAGACACAGATGTTCCACCATTCATTGTAAACTAAGTATAGATCATAGAATAGTTATTTATAAATGTGATAGTTATCTAAGTGGTGAAAATAAACTATTATTATTATTATTATTATTATAATTGCAGTCAATAATATCAATTTGACAGCAATTATAATATTTGTAAAATAAATGCACCTGAGGACTATTTTATCTTTATTGTTATAAAGTTGAAGTGACAAAAGAACTCACAGTCAACCTACTAAGAAGTAGCTACAGCAGCCCAAGAACACCTGAACCAATTTCAAATAAAGAAGTCTATAGATGTATTGTCACCTCTGAGGACTAAAATGGAATCCCTCACAGTCTGTTGTTATGTTCTTATATTGGCTCCTATACCTTTAGACCGGAACAAAGCAATGAATACACTGCTTCTTGGTGGTTGAAACAGGCATAAAAGGAGTCCCATCAAATTGCATTCTAATTTTAATTCTAAATCCTATTATTTTATTTTCTGAAAAATTATAACTGGATTGAGGTATATTTCATCGTATTATATTACGTGTAGTAATGTAATACGATACTCCGTGGATACATAATGTTATTATTAGAATCTAATTTATCAGTCATCTACCATTAGATTCATTTGATAGACTGACGGTCGTAGAAAATAAATCTGTTTTAAGTGATCCGTGCCAATATTAGTAAAAGGGGACCCTTATTTGGTGTCCGCCTATCACAGACAATTTTCTTTAAAACCATTTAAAGTAATAACTTAACATAGAGATTTATACTGTGCCTTAATTTTAGATGTAAAACATAGATTTTATTTTTGATTCTGAAGGTGAATTTCAAAATGTAAGTAATGTATTTTTTTTTTCATCAACTATATAATGCAGAAACCTAAAAAGTCTAGTTGGGTTTACGTGTTTCATTTTTTTTTTTGCTTCTCTGTATCTTTATAACTTGTTTTAGCGGAAAAATAAATAAATATAAACTTTATTTAAGACATAATTTATAATACAGAATGCTTATCCATAAATTTTTAATAATAACTATAAAACGGCATCCTTTTGTGTTCTTTTCAGTTTATTGAAACAACTTATCCCAAGAACGAGTGATTTTACTACATAACCTACAAATAATAAAAACAAAAATAAAAACAAAACCCCAGGCCCTACAAAAATATGATTTTTTGTCATAAGTAGCAAATGTTTAAATCTTCAAAATAAGATATATTTAAACTTTGTTCACGCCGGGCCCAAGCTTGTATGGAACGAAGTTCATCTCCTTTAAAAAGCTAGGATTTGAAGTTGGAAAAACAGGACAATTCAATTTAAAAACAGGACACAGTAAAGGCCTTGTCAAACATAACTGCAAACCAAATCGAACCGAAAACATAGCGAATGTATGTACGAGTACTATATATGCAAGTATCGGTTCGTTTTCGTTTCGCCACGCTATCGGTTCGCTGTCTATCTCGTCAAATAATTTTTCTTCGTTTACTTCAATGCCGTGATATTACAAATATATGACCTTATCAGAGCGCTTTAAAATCCCAGGACGTTGCTTAAAACCTATCCAGGACATCCCAGGACACTACAAAAACTAGGACATATCTTGGGAAAACAGGACGGTTGGTAACCCTAACTTAAATAGATAAATACACGCGAAGCTAATAAAAGCGTATTAAAAAGGTGGGTATTTAGTTTCACTTTTCTGAAAAATCGATGACAAAAGTCATTTGAGGAAATTTCTTTTATATGTTGCATTTTCTTCATACAGCTCAATCCCAGCGCGCCATCCTATACTTTCATGCAAAATTTTAAAGGGCCCATACCTAACCAAAATCCATAATTCAGCTCTCGGACTAATAATAATAATAATAAATTTTGTCTCTACGGAGACTATACAATCTATATATGCAAATACAGGTGCATTATTTCTGCCTTACTCTCATAGTACGATGGACCGGCAGTATGACACGTTACCGGTGAGACCAGGCGCAACACCGACGACATTAAATGTTTTACGAGGCACGGAATGAATACCGCCAACTTCCTGGCCCAAAACTGCTACTGAGAATTTCTTGACAGAAAAACTCGACTGCCACGCTTACCACCACTAGATCAACGAAGCAGCCACTAAGAAACTTAATCTGAAATTTCAAAAATTGTTACATTATTGATATTTCTGTCCGTACAGATTCGTAGTTGGTCAGCACGTTACACTTCAAGACGACGTCGTTAGTCACCTCAACATCAGTAGAGTGACAGAACAAGATGGCGGGGAATATGCATGTGTGGCCAGTAACACCGCGGGTAAAGCCAGCCACGCAGCCAGAGTGAACGTCTACGGTCTTCCGTTTATACGAGAAATGCCAAAAGTGACAGCAGTTGCTGGTAGTGACCTCATTATTAAATGTCCTGTTGCTGGTTATCCTATTGAATCTATTACTTGGGAAAGAGGTAAGCGCAATGCCTACTAATTATAATTTTTTCACAAGTATTTTTTAATAATAAGCATAGAACTTAACAATAGTCATTTTTATTGACTTGTAAATTACACGTTGATCAATGTTGACAAAAACAATACATATACGTTATTACGTCATACATAGACATTACGGCTATTGTCAAAACACAGTAAGTAATACAATAAACAATCGCCATATTGTATGCATCGGATTCATGTAAATTCCATAAAATTTCGACTATGGTATCCAGTGATTGTCATCTCATCATGTATCATCGCTTAGACTACAGGAGGTCATAAGCAAACCAACAAAAACTTACATCCGAAAATCAAACCCATTTTTCTGAAGCAGGCAGATGAAATAACAGTATATATTTTATTTTTATTTAATGCATAATTTTCTTAATTTATGAAGTCTGGAGGGAAAGAAGACAGAGGCAAGGCGAAATCCCTAAACTTAATTTTACGCGACCGTCTCGAGTTGGAGCATCCACGTTGTGAAATTGTTATTTTAGTCTGAGAGCTGGCGACGAATTTTGGGAAGGTCCTTTGGGCAAGTTGAAATAGTGAAAAAATATAATTTCGTCAATCGGCAAATCCAGTCCTGCAAGTTTAGCAGAGCGTTTGAGGTTATTTAGTTACTACGCAGCACATAAAATTTGCAAATAAAATTCCAACTAAATGTTTTTGTAGCAACTTGATTTCTTTTTTATCTTTTAATTTAGTTTTTAAATAATTCCAAAAAAATAATCCCAGACGTTTTTGTCGGTTATAAAGTATTACCAGACCTCTCCAAAAATATTTTGTTGAAATTCCCAAAAAGACATACTTTTGCCAATCTCCAATTTTAACCACATATTTATTGAGTAATTTTTAGTAATACCTGCAAATCGTCAGACGAATTTAGCGGTTTCATGGACTTATAAATAAGTTATTAATATAGTTATTAATATTTATACGTCCAACGTGAATAAAGATTACAAATGAATACGACAAATAAGTCTTATGCGTAGCCATAAGTGCGAGAAAGATAGCTTATCGAAGCATGCCGACAGCGGATGGGGGCCTAAGCTCCTCGCGCTGTGATTGGTTATTAAGAAATATCATTTTTAAATATTTTTAGATTAAATCTTGTTTTGGGATTTAGCATGTATGTATGCGCATATATGACCATGTAAATATCTATGTATAGAGTTTGAATTATTTTTGATCAGTGTTGTAATAATTTGTATATTAGCTATTACTTTAAACCTCGTATTAATAGTAAGCTTGGCAATATATGTCTTGACAGTTATCACCCCATGATCTTAAAAAAGAACAAAGTATAAAAGTCTAAAAATGTATAAAGTGCTTACCGCCCAGAGATGAAGGTGGAAAAAATAACAAGTTGCACTTTCTCTACAGCCATAACTTTTTTGACAGTGATGTGGTACAGATACAGATGACTTTTGAACTACCTAAATGTAGTTTTATTATGTTCTTTTTATAGGATATCTGGAACTTGCGTAAGTAAATATTTTTAAACTGTATTTTAAATATCACACTAGGCCGATAGCCATGAAATAAATTAAAAGAAAGATCATTAGACACATAGTTTTATAATCAATTACAAAGAAAACACTAAACAAAATCACATTACTCTTATCATCAAATATTGTAAAAAACTAAAACGGGATGACTAACTTTCAAATTGAATTAAAACCTCATAAACCGTGTAGTGGCGGTCAAGAATATCCACTACCCCATATCCTCCCGTGGGTGTCGTAAAAGGCGACAAAGGGAAACAGGCAGGAGATGGGCAGCAGCATCTTCCTGATAATAGCCAAAATTACAATAAAAAAAATGCAGTTGCCAACCCGCTCGCCAAGCGTGGCAACTATGGCAAATACGGGGGGTATTTGCCATGGTTGCATGTATGAATGTAACAAAGAGACGGCCCCCAGTCCCCGGCGGCCCCGCTATTCCTGGCTACGGTGCCGACCATGGTAACGGCGGGGCAGGGGGTGCTAAGAATCTCCGGTGGAGGTTCGGTTGCCACCTTAGACGACTCGACCTGGCAACGTACAACGCACGCACCCTGAGGACTGACGAGAAGATCGTGGAGCTGGAAGAAGAGATAGACAAGTTGCGCTGGCATATTATAGGATTATCCGAAGTCCGAAGAGAGGGGGAGGACACGGTAATCCTCGAATCCGGCAACTTACTCTATCACCGGGAGGGCGACCATCTGTGCCAAGGAGGTGTCGGATTTATCGTCCACAAGTCTCTCGTTAACAACGTTGTAAAGATCGGGAGTGTGTCGACGAGGGTTGCGTACCTTATACTCAGAATCACCAAACGGTATTCGCTGAAGGTCATACAGTTTTACGCACCAACCTCGGCACACCCCGATGAGGAGGTGGAGGAAATGTATGAGGATATCTCTAGAGCCATGTATTCCTCCAAAACCCAATATACGGTGTTAATGGGAGACTTCAATGCAAAACTAGGCACAAGAGAGAACGGTGAGCTGAAAGTAGGGAAATTTGGAATAGGGCAACGGAACCCAAGGGGCCAGCAGCTGGCCGACTTCATGGAGAAAGAGGGACTCTTTATGATGAACTCTTTCTTCCAGAAGCGGCCCCACAGGAAGTGGACCTGTTCGAGCCCCGACGGTTCGACAAAAAATGAGATTGACTTCATTATGACGACCAGACGACAACTGTTCAGTGATGTCTCCGTGATCGCGAGGGTGAAAACTGGTAGCGATCACCGAATGGTTAGAGGCACACTGAACCTAAACGTTAAGTTGGAGAGGTCTCGTCTAATGAAGTCAACGCACCATCCCCCTCGTGCTCTGTTCCAAAGTCCCGAAACCTTTCAGCTCGAGTTACAAAACCGTTTTCAGTGTCTAGAAGACTGCAATGAAGTGGACGATATGAATGACAAGCTCGTGGAAACTGTCCATGCGGTCGGAGCTAAGTTCTGCAAGACCCGCCGCAGAAGAACACAAAAACTCTCCGATCACACTCTTAATCTCATGGCTGTTAGACGGGAGATGAAGCTACATTCTTCAACAGACTTGACAGCATACAGGCATCTGAACAGACAGATCTCCAAATGCATGCGGCGGGACTTACGCAACTTCAATACAGCTCGTATTGAAGAAGCGATCGAGCGGAACCAAGGCTCCAAAGAGATCTGTCTGCCAGAAAGAGCCAACTGTCAAAGCTGAAGATAGGATGTGGCAGCATCGTTTCCGGGACACCTGAGATTTTGAGTGAGATTGAGAGGTTCTATGGGCAGCTGTACACGTCATCGTTGGAGCCGCAGACAAGTGTGAGTAACGATCCAAGAGCGAGTCTTATCCGACATTATACCGATGATATCCCGGACGTCAGTCTGAGCGAGATTAGAATGGTTCTCCAGCACCTTAAAAACGGCAAGGCCCCAGGCGAGGATGGAATTACAGCGGAGCTTCTGAAAGCGGGTGGAAGATCGGTACTTGAAGTCCTTCAGAAGCTCTTTAATTCCGTCCTCCATGGTGGCATTACACAGGAGGCGTGGAGCAGAAGTGCGGTGGTCTTGTTCTTCAAGAAAGGCGACAACGTTTTCTTGAAGAACTACGGACCGATTTCCCTTCTGAGCCGCGTCTACGTGCTGTTTTCGAGAGTCATTACGAATCGTCTCGCGCGCAGACTTGACGACTTCCAGCCTCCCGAACAAGACGGTTTTCGAAAAGGCTTTAGCACCATAGACCACATACATACCCTTCGGCAAATTGTACAGAAGTCCGAAGAGTACAATTTGCCACTATGTCTGGCGTATGTGGACTATGAGAAAGCCTTTGATTCCGTCGAAATTTGGGCGGTGCTACAGTCCCTTCAGCGATGCCAAGTTGACTGTCGGTATATCGAAGTGTTGAAGTGCTTGTACAGTAGGGCTACGATGGCTATCCGAGTACAGAACCAGAGTACGAAACCTATCCAATTGCAGAGAGGTATAAGACAGGGTGATGTCATATCCCCGAAACTCTTTACCGCTGCATTGGAAGATGTTTTCAAGCTTCTGGACTGGAAAGGATACGGTATCAACATCAATGGCGAGTACATCACTCACATTCGATTTGCCGACGATATAGCCCTTATGGCAGAATCGCTGGAGGACCCAAGAACTATGCTCAATGACTTCAATAGTGTTTCCCAACGGATAGGTCTTAAGATGAACATGGACAAAACAAAGATCATGTTTAATGTCCATGTCACACCTATGCCGGTAGTTGTTGGGAACACTAAGCTCGGAGTTGTTGACGAGTATGTTTACCTGGGAAAAATAGTCCGACTAGGTAAGTCCAACTTCGACCGAGAGGTCAATCAACGGATTCAACTCGGCTGGGCAGCGTTCGGGAAGCTACGACACATCTTCTCGTCAGACATACCTCAAAACCTGAAAACGAAATTGTACAACCAGTGCGTGTTGCCAGTGATGACTTACGGAACTGAGACGTGGTCCTTCACTGCTGGCTGTATGAGGAAGCTCAAGGTCGCTCAGCGAGCTATGGAGAGGGTTATGCTCGGAGTTTCTCTGCGTGATAAACTTAGGAATGAGGATATCCGCAGTAGAACCAGAGTAACCGACATAGCCCAACGGATTAGTAAGCTGAAGTGGCAGTGGGCCGGCCATATAGCTCGAAGAACCGACAACCGATGGGGAAGAAAGGTTCTCGAGTGGCAGCCTCGTACCGGTAGGCGAAGTGTAGGGCGTCCCCCCACGAGATGGAGTGACGACCTGGTAAGACATGCAGGAAGTCGATGGATGCAGGTGGCTCAGGACCGTGCTTTGTGGCATTCTTTGGGGGAGGCCTATGTTCAGCAGTGGACTTGTGAAGGGCTGTAATGATGAATGGTGATGAAATTAAACTTTTGAGTTAGTAAAATGACTTCACGCCATAAAACTGGAACCAGACAGTGAACCTTCAATGAGCAGTGAAGAATAGGAGGAAAATTAATAAAATGATAATAGAAAAAATAATAG